TGATCCCTTGGTTCAAAAATGGTTGGGCAAGTTTCCTTTTGCTTTATGCCTCTATTCACTTGATAGTAAATTGGTATTTGGGAGTTAGGCAACTGATGTGGGTTGCATCCTGGGGAGGGTCAGAAGCTGGCCTAGGGGGATCTCTGTAAACCTGAGTATAGGCTTCTTGTCCCTGGCAATGGGAATTATACCATTCAAAATGTTGAATGTCGGCATTAAACTCACAAGAAGACAAAATCCTTCAGAACATGGGGAGGGGAGAAGGAGGGGGGGGAGTCTGTCTTGGTCTCGGCCAAAATAAAACAAGCAAATGCATGGATCTGAAAGAAAACATTGGGGTGAAGAACACACAAACACTGAAGGAGCTGGTGAACAAGCCCACATGAGATGCTGCTTATTGTTGGCAGCAAACTGTTTTTTAGAACTTTTCACCACATATGAATTCCTAGAAAATATTTTTAAGTTTACTGTAGTTTTAGAATAGTAGAAAGCATGTTTAGGTGCTTTTCTTGAAGCTGCTTACTAGTGATGTTAATCTTGAAAAGAATGTTGCACTCTGCGCAAGTAGTGGCTTTATATAATAAACAATTACCTGTAAACAAATCGACAAGGGCCGTGATGAGGGTTCGAACCTACGTCCGAGAGGATCCCAGACGTGTCTTTATCGACTGTGCCCACACAGTCGATTAACCACTGCGATGCATAGTTTATTGTGACATTCCCCGTGTGCATAAAATAAAGTGTTCGTAATTTTTTTTTTTTTTTATGTTTTGTAAAATTATAAATTCCATTCCCTGAACATGTACATGTAAAAAAATAAATAAAAAATTCCACTTACTTTGGCTGTGGGGACGTGGAAGTGGCGGCGTCATGGGCCGGTTGCCCGTGCGTAAAGCTCCCAGAAGTGGTTGCGCGTGCTATTTAAGCATCGCGAGATGCCCCAAATATATTTTCAATATTTGTTCTATGCATTTGCAATGTGGTTTTTATTTTTGTTATCATATGCGATGCATATTTGTGTTCTTTACAATATGTATACAGAAGAATGTTCATAATGTTCCATGGAACTGTGATACATGTGTCAGTAATGTGTTCTAAATTAATGTTTAGTGTTGCTACATTACTTGTTAAAAATTCACAAAGTTACAACATGTCAGTTTCACACACTATTTACACAGTAACACACTGTATTACACACTCAGTACTTTGGAAGCGAGTAATAATCAACGAAGTAGTCCATGGTACACAACGCGACTTCGCTCTCGTTGCACCAGGTACAGATAGATTTTCACTTCCCGTTTCTTCGTTGTGTGCTTGCAAATAACGCACTCACGTATACCGTTGGCTTTAATACCTGTAGGTGGTATGTAGCCGAGCTTGTGAAGCATAAGGTAGTCTTGAAATGATTATAGGAAAACATCAATTTGTAAGGTAGTCTTGAAGAGATCGCTTTGAAAGGTCCCTCACTGGAAGAGATTCGGTCAATGAGGAAGAGTGTCAGCCATTCTGGAAGAGATTTAGCTAGTCTTGAAAGTATATATGGAAAATCACCATTGAAACCACTAACACTGTTAATCTATGCTACCTGTATCAGATACATCATCACTGAACCCAGAAAACGATTCATCTATATATCATTTATAAAAACTGGAGATGGCAAGGGCCATCTCAGAGCTACAACTGGATACGCTCGCAATATCGTCCTCATTGGTGCTGCATCACTTGCATCCGACCTTTGTGTTAGGTCCTTATTGTGCCTAGCTTGATCAATATCATGATCCTTATGTTCTACAAACAATAAGGTCTGAATTTCACCGACAGAGAGTGATCTTTCAATGTGTCGAACAGGTGTTTGAGAGCCAGAGGCGCGTGCGCCACCCATGGTTGCTCACTCAGTACTAACCCAGCCAGCACCCCTAGGGCATTCTGGGAATTTTTTCCAAGATGGCTGCCTCTCACTAGAGGTCCCAAGAGTCCATTTCGTACACAACCTACTGCGCATGCGTTTCGAATGGTTACGAAATATTCAAAAGGTGTTTTCTCGGTTGGCGCAATTTCCTGCTGACTAAGTTTTCTTGGTTTGCGCAGCACAGTGGTTAACCCTTAAATTGCGCATCACATCATATGATGTTTGGAGTACAAAGCAAGATTTAAACGGCCCGCAGATACACGGCATTCACCACACCTTCATCAGAGCTGTTGTAAACAGACGCCATTTAAAAAAAAATCGTTGCCAAATTCCCGGGTGTTAGGGGCCTCAGTATTGAGTGAGCTACCAAGCCTGATGCACGCAGCATGAGCTCACAACACTGCTGTTCAGCTTGTGACCACAGCATCGCTTAAAAATGCCATAATATACTTGTTCATGCTATTATGTTGCGATGATATTATTACAGAAGACCCCTGACTGTGATAAAAACTGACCAGGGTTCTGATAAAGGCAGGATTGTGGTGATATTTAGCGCTGTGCTCCATGGAGGGAGGGTGGTGGCATTGTCTTCTGTGTGTGGCCACCTTTTATTGACTGCACTCACCATACCAGTTTAGTGGTTCGCTATGCTGAATACAAATGTAGATACTTATATATAACGTGTGTATAGAGGGTATAAACAGCAAGAGGAGTAGGTTGGGAGCCGCCATTTTGGTGAGGGCGGTGGCGTCGTCTGCACGATTTATCATGTTTACTGGTGACCACGATGGTCTTTGGGCACCATACCAGTTTACTTGTACATGTATGGTGAATAAAACAGGTAGATATTTATATATAATGTGTGTATATAGCGTAATAACACCACAAACAGTATTGTTGGAGGAGAAATATTAGTGCGTCTGGCCTTGAGGGCGGCAGCCAGCCGACTGTGTGAGGTCCAACGTCTTTGTGCCTTTACTCACCATACAAGCTTAAATGTACAGTTATGGTGAACAAAACATGTAAATACTTACATATAACGTCTGTATATAAAAGCAAAAACAGTTTGGTGGGTGGAGAATTGTGGCAAGTCAGATGAGGTGAGGGAGGGAGGGAGTGGCAGCCAGTGGCGGGCTGCCACTGCCACTCAGCATACCAACTTAGTGGTTCGTTATGGTGAACACGAATGTAGATACTTATATATAGCGTCTGTATATAGTGAATAAAATAAAAAACAGTATTGTGGGAGGAGAATGTGGGTGAGTCAGTTGACTTGAGGGAGGGAGCAAGTAGCATCCAGTAGCGGGCTGCCTCTGGCTGCCACTGCCACTCAACATGCCAACTTAGTGGTTCATTATGATGAACACGAATGTAGATACTTATATATAACGTCTGTATATAGTGAATAAAAGCAAAAACAGTATGGTGGGAGGAGAATGTGGGTGAGTGAGGTGTTGAGGGAGGGCGTGAGTGGCTGGCTGGTACACGGCGGTCACTCCTCGTTACTTTTTGACTCATAATAGCAACTTAGTGGTTCATTATGGTGAACAAAACATGCAGATACTTATATATGACCTGTGTATATAGTGTAATAACCGACAAAGTATTTGTTCACTGTTTGATGAATATAATTGAATCAACAATATGCACACCATATTTTTGAGTATAGCGATGATTCACTCATTTTATTATATAAATATATCACACTACACACTATTGAATAATATTACAGCAAAAAATAAATACGAAAAATCAATCGGACACATTGAAATAATTAGGTAATTATCTCTTTGTGGCAACTCCGGCCTGACAGCTGGCGAGCAACAGACCGCCTGGGACGCACGCTGAGTCAGCGCCTATTTTTTGCCAGACTTCCCCGCCCTATAGCGGGCAATATATGCCACTTACGATTGTTTTATTATTTTTCCCATGATCAGTGAACACAAATTAACAGGTTAGGAAGAAAAAAGATTTTTTTTTTTTTTTATATGCGCCTGTGGGTGTCAAATGGCATATAACCATACGCCGTTTAGGGGTTAAGCTGTGTCTGGGATCCTTTCGGACGTAGGTTCGAACCTTCATCACGGCCCTTGTGGACTTGTTCATTTGATGCATCACGCTATTGTGATTTCTATGTGTAGTGAAAAAAGGGCAAAGAGGTAGAACAGCTTGTTGACAGAGCCCAGGTGCATGGAGGAATGGTGTAAAACCCTGGTGTGTCTCGGAGAGAATTCAGGATGCATGTGAGGGCAGTAGCACTCCTGGTTGCAATTCTTTTAACCATGTCATGGGACAGTCAATTAAGGCGTGTCTGGAGTCCTCTCGGCTGTAGGTTCGAACCCTAATCACAGCCCTTGTGGATTTGTTCAGTTGATGCATCACTTATGATTTCTGTGCATAATTACCTGTACTTTATCACACCTTGGATTGCCACACAACAAATTGGAATACTATGGTGAGGAAATTAGGTACTTCACTGTTTTACTTTTAAATAAAAAATTATGTTGAGAATTTCAATTCAATAGGAAGGTAGTTCAATATATCGAGTGGTTGCATAAATTTAATCCGACTGTGAATCTCAAAGAAACATTTGATTCTGGTGTATTGTTCATGGGTTCTATTCCAACCATTTAGGAAGTTTCAAAACAGAATTAGTAATGAGGATTAAGGCTTTGTAAGTGTACGTAGTGCAAGAGATTAGTGAAATGAGTAAATTTGTTAGTTCTGATAGTTAATTTTTTCTGGAAAAACGATGAGCTTGAGGAAGTTTGCAGTGGTTGAACCTCGTATACATACTTCACGGTAAAGATTGGAAAATTAGTAAAGTAATATAGTGTGAGAAGACTAGCGTGTGGGTACATAGCACTGTATCTGACTATTTAAAGTATGCCAAATATTTCAGATTTTTCTGGCTATGTGTAGTGGGGGCTAAAGTTATGTTTCATTATGAAATATGCAAGGAGTCTCACCTCACAGGTCAATATTCTTTGCATAAAAGATTAATACTGCACGTCCATTAATTACATATTCACTCTACAAATAGCAAAACACAATAACAGTGCTATAAACACTCAAGAGAAGGAGCTCTTACCACTTGTGCATTTCTTCCTGGGTGTAACCGGAGTCATCAATTCACAATTCTGTTAAAAAAAAAAATGAAATGAGTATTAAAACTAACTACACCACAGCTATAACCTCAGACAGACAGGCACTCCAAACACCTTAGCATGTGTGTAATTACCTAAGTGTAGTTACAGGGTGAGAGCTATGCGCGTGGTGTCCTGTCTTCCCAACGCTCTTTGTCATATAACACTTTGAAACTACTGACGGTCTTGGCCTCCACCACCATCTCACCTAACTTGTTCCAACCGTCTACCACTCTGTTTGCGAAAGTAAATTTTCTTATATTTCTCCAGCAGCTTTGTTTCGCTAGTTCAAATCTACGACCTCTTGTTCTTGAAGTTCCGGGTCTTGGGAATTCTTCCCTATCGATTTTATCAATTCCTGTTACTATTTTGTACGTAGTGATCATATCGCCTCTGTTTCTTCTATCTTCTAGTTTTTGCACATTTAATGCCTCTAACCTCTCCTTGTAGTTCTTGTCTTTCAGTTCTGGGAGCCACTTGGTGGCATGTCTTTGCACCTTTTCCAGTTTGTTTATGTGCTTCTTAAGATATGGGCACCACACAACCGCTGCATATTCAAGCTTTGGTCTAACAAAAGTCATGAACAATTTTTTTTAGTATTTCCCTATCCATGTACTTAAAAGTAATTCTGAAGTTAGAAAGTGTGGCATAGGCTCCTGGCACAATGTTCTTAATGTGGTTCTCATGTGACAGTTTTCTATCTAGAACCACCCCCTAGATCCCTTTCTTTGTCAGAATTCTTTAAAGATTTCTCCCATAATTTATAGGTTGTGTGGGGTCTATGTTCTCCTATTCCACATTCCATAACATGGCATTTATTCACATTAAATTCCATTTGCCAAGTGGTGCTCCATATACTTATTTTGTCCAGGTCTTCTTGAAGGGCATGCCAATCTTCTAGGTGTCTTATCTTCTCTATTATCTTAGCATTATTAGCAAACATGTTCGTATAATTCTGTATTCCATCTGGTAGATTGTTTATGTAGACAATGAACATTACCAGTGCAAGAACTGAACCCTGTGGTACTCCACTTGTGACATTCCTCCAAACCAATACATTGCCTCTGATTACGGCTCTCATTTTTCTGTCAGTTAGGAAATTTTTCATCCATGTTAGAAGCTTACCTGTCACCCCTCCAATATGTTCCAGTTTCCAGAACAACCTCTTATGTGGAACTCCGTCAAAAGCCTTTTTTAGGTCCAGATAGATGCAATCAACCCAACCATCTCTTTCCTGTAAAATCTCTGGCTCGAACATAGAAACTGAATAAATTCGTTACACAGGATTTTCCAGATCGAAAACCATACTGTCTGTCTGATATTATATCGTTTTTCTCCAGGTGTTCTACCCATTTAGTTTTAATTATTTTTTCCAATATTTTGACTATTACACTTGTCAATGATACAGATCTATAATTGAGGGGGTCTTCCCTGCTGCCACTTTTGTAGATTGGGACGATGTTAGCCTTTTCCCACACATCAGCTATAACTCCTTTACACAGGGATGCCTGAAAAATCAGTTGAAGTGGAATGCTGAGCTCGGGTGCACATTCTCTCAGAACCCGTGGTGAACTCCATCTGGACCAACTGCTTTGTTTTTACTTAGCTCCTTTAGCATTTTCTCCATTTCATCTCTAGACACCTATGTGTGCTCTATGCTGTTCTCTGGAATTCTTATTGTATCTGGTTCCCTGAAGATTTCATTTTGTACACACACACTTTGGAACTTTTCGTTTATTGTTTCACACATTTCCTTTTCATTTTCTGTGAAACTATTTCCCATTTTCAACCTCTGAATATTATCCTTTACCTGCAATTTGTTGTTTATGAATTTATAGAATAGACCTGGTTCTGTTTAACATTTGTCTGCAATCCCGTTTTCAAAATTTCTTTCTGCCTCTCCTCACTGCCGTATAGTTGTTTCTCGCATCTTTGTATCGCTGGTATGTTTGGGGTTTGGCCTCTTCCTATATTGATTCCATTTTTGTATCTTTTGGTCTCTGGCCCTCTCGCAATTTCTGTTGAACCAATCCTGTTTCCTAGTTCTGCATCTCTGCTTTGGGATAATTTTTTTTGTGCCTTTATCATATATTTCACAAAACTTGACATACATCTTATTTACTTTATGTCCTAACAGCAAGTCTTTCCAGTCAATTTCCCTAAAGAAATATCTGAGTTCCCATAATGACTTCTGAAATCAGGCTTTTCAACTGCTTCAACCTCATTTTCTTCAAAATAATAATGCATAGCATAATTTATTCCCAATAAGACATGGTCACTTTTACCTAAGGGAGGGAGATACTGAATGTCAAATATCTCTTCTTTTTTCCTGGTAAATATCAAATCCAGCATGGAGAGAACATCCCCTTCCCTCATCCTCGTAGCTTGTTTAACATGTTGAAACATGAATGTTTCCAGGATGAGGTTTACGAATCTACAAGTCCAAAAATCCTCCGTTCTAGCTTCATATACCTCCCAGTCTATGGATTTTAAGTTGAAGTCGCCGACTACCAACAGTCGTGATCTATCTTTATCAGCTCTGACTTACACACAGATCACACTAACGTGCTGCATCAAATGAACAAATCATTGGATTTGTTCATTTGATGCATCACGTTAGTGTGATCTCTGTGTGTAATGATGTAAAGGCGAAGAGGGAGAACGGCCTATTGACATAGCTCGGGTGCAGGGGGAAGTTGTGTAAAATCCTGGTTTGTGCCTCGGAGAGGCTACGGGATCCAGTAGGTTCAGTAGAACTTCGGCTTCAACTCTTTTACCCTGTCGTAGCTCAGTCAATTAAGGCAGTGTCTCAGTGTCTGGGATGCTCCTGGACATAGGTTCGAATCCTCATCAAGGCCCTTGTGGATTTGTTCAGCTCTGACTATAATTTGTCTCATTATTGTTGTAAGACCCTCTCGTTTATTATCTCGCTCCTCCTTTGTCCATGTGTTGCTTGGCGGTGGACTATATGCATTTATGATCGTTAGTTTATCATCCTGATTGCATATCTCTCATGCTATTATGTCACCTTCTCGTGTATTGGCACTTGTTATTTTGTTTACCTTTAGGTGTTCTTTCACCAGCACAGCAATGCCACCGCCTTTCCCAATTTTTCTGTCCTGTCTCCAGACTGAGTAGCCTCTTGGGAATTTGACCTCGATTAAAATATCATCATCAAGTTTTGTCTCCATGAGTGCAACAATATCTGGTGTCTGTAGCTGTATTACATCACTTAACTCCAGTATCTTTGATCTCACTCCATCTTTGTTTGTGTATGTAGTTTTCAGGAACTTGTTCCCCCTCTCCTTATTCTTCACTCCTTCCCTCTCTAATCCTTTTGTTGGTTTGCCTTTATGTACCACTTTACTGGTTTGCCTACCCCTATCACTTTGTAGAAAAAAGAATGTCTTCTTCATTCCTGCTCTCATTTAAACGTTTTGCCTCGGCGAGGTTCAGTTTGAGCTTCTCTGTCTTAATTTGAAAGATCTCGTCTTAACGACCATACTTTCCCTACCTCATCACTTTGTAATTTTCTAACATTCCTTAGTACTTCTTCCATCTGTTTGGCACCGTTTAGGGTGATCTTCAAAGTTCGATCTTTCCCTTTTACGTACTTTCCAATTCTCCTGACATTCTCGATGGTAGCAAGACCTTCTACGAGGCCAACAATTTTATCTACCACTTTCTCTTCTTCTACAGCTCTTTCTGACCTAGATGTTATCTCCTTTTCTTTACAACCAAAAATTATCAGACGTACTTCGATCTACTGTGTTTTGCACCAATTTAGGATTTGATGCCAGTTCCTTTCTGACTTCCAGCCTAATGTTTGTTTTATCCTGGTTGCTGCAGTGTTTGGCTTCCTTTACTGCTGCTTCTATTTTTTCCTTCTCCTTGGTCACTTGTGCCTAGGTGAGTTGCATATCTTTCTTGCACTGTTCTACTCCCTGTGTAACTTCCTCCATCTGTACTAACAAAAGCTGTTTTTCCTGTTTAATTTCCTTACCTAACCTATCATAGTCAGTTAAGTTTAAGTTTGCTTTAACTTCTTCCAAAGCTATTTTTAAGAGTTTATTTTCCTCTTCCATGGCTTTGCAATTTGTTTCCAGTTGATTCTTGTCTTTGCATAAGTCTTCACTAACCCCTCAAGACCTAAAACTTTGCCACTTAAGTGTTCATTACTTTCTTTCAATTTGCTGATTATTTCTTCATGATAGTTCACTATAATATCTAATTTTGCCAATTTGTTGTGTAGACTGCTTATTTCAATATTTTCTTCATTAAAACCCCCAAAATCTAGCTCTGTTTTGTTTTCCTTCTTGTGGTGGCCATCTTGAATGTTTTTGTCTGGACTGTAAACACTAGGGTCACTTTTTCTCATTAAATTTTTCACTTCACTTTGCACATTCGTGTTACCTCACCTATTTTTCCAAAGCACAACACTTTTATGTTCCTTGGGACACCACTCACTATCATCAACCTGTACTACAATACTTAGGAATTGTGAAATATCTCGACACTAGGGGTGTCATCTTTTTGAGGTATACTCACCTAATTGTGCTTGCAGGGGCTGAGCTCTGGCTCTTTGGTCCCGCCTCTCAACTGTCAACAGGTGTACAGTTTCCTGAGCCTATTGGGCTCTATCATATCTACACTTGAAACTGTGTATGGAGTCAGCCTCCACTACATCACTTCCTAATGCATTCCATTTGTCAACCACTCTGATACTAAAAAAAAGTTCTTTCTAATATCTCTGACTCATTTCACACTCAGTTTTCACCGGTGTCCCCTAGTGCATGTGCCCCTTGAGTTAAATAGCCTGTCTTTATCTACCCTATCAATTCCTTGAGAATCTTTCTATAACGACCCGGTCCTCTAGCCATCCCTTGTGTTGTGCCATCCAGTCCACGGATGGACTGGATGAACCCCTCCTCCCTCACAGCAAGATTCCTGCTCAGAAGCACAAAGGTCCAAGCAGGAGTAAGTGAAGCCCTAGCCCACCAAGCGAGATTTCCCCAAGCCTTGAAACCCCTCAAGAGAGGCTCTGGGGCAGAGCCTACCTCTATGTCTCTCACCCTTGAAGAAAAAGCAGAGTCCAAGGCAAAAGCCTCAAAGAGAAAGCCTGCTGAGAAGACCCAGAAGCCTCGGTGGGAGGAACAGACTCGAAGGCCCCCTTCCCCACATCAAATGGGGCAGCACCCAAGGGCCTCTCGAGTCTCATCCCCAACTAAACCTGGCCCCAACTCTGAAACCCTCAAGACATTTAAGAGCCCATAGCAGGGGGTTGGAAGGAGCAAGGCGAACCATGCCAACAAGGGAAGGACTCGAGGGCATGGACTGAACCATGACCAAAGCGCCCTAACACCCTCAAGTTTGGCCTACCCAAACGGGGCAGCCCCGGAGTATTCAAGCTGGCGACCAACCTAGAGCGTTGCAGCTACCTAATTGTACTATGCAACACAACAGTTGCTTGACCCCTAAGATCTCCCAAAGAAGAATGGAGAAACTAGAGAGCGAGTGGGGAACAAGACCCACACAAGTTTGGGCCGGAGGAGTTGGCGACCCAACAAGCAGCATGACTGAGGCAGAACAGGTGATGATCACCCCCGAGATGGGGGCAACGAACAACTTTCAAACTCGCACAAAGCAGGATGGGACTCGGAGGATACATCCATTGGTCAACCAAGCCTCGAAGTGGAAGGCCCAGAGGAGGACTGCCCTTCTAAACCTAGGTATCACCTAATAGGAACCCCGGCAACCTCCCAACAGGCAAAAAAGTAAACTAAAAATATGAAAAAGAACCCTGAGGAAGCACCACATCCCAGGGGGACCAGAAAGAGGCATGGCCGGTCCAGTTATGCAAGTGATGCAGCCTAGTGCGCCCCAATTAGCAAAAAATCACCCCCTACCCAGGGCCAAACAAAAGCACCGAGGCCTAAGCCGACCTCTCAAGGGTGAGGCAGAAGCCAAGTAACCGCTATCTCTACGGGAGTGGGAGCCCGAAGTACCCAGGAAAGATAGCCCCGAGACCCAATGGGTATACTCACAGGGCGCTTAGGGAAGGAAGCCCTAAGCGCAAGCACTCCCTTGTACCACAACCCTGGTCACTTCACCAGCAGGAACCACTACCAGGCAAAAATCCTGTCAGGCAACCGAGACCAGAGTAGATGTCCACCCAGTTTAGCTTAGGGATAGGGGGTTTGTTTGTTAGCTTGTTTTCCTTGGGGGGAGTTTCTAGCCTCTGTTTGGTCTTAAGTTGCAAGTTTTCTACCACTAGGGGTCTGTTTTGGAGTGCCTACCATTCTAAATGCTCAACTATGGTTGCTGGCAGACATATTTTCATACATGAGTTTCATAAGTCATTGCTCCCTCCACCTCTGAGGGGCCCATATTCTGGCCAGTAGTCCCTGGTAGGCATGACAACTCCATATGACTGAAGTCCTGTACTAATAATAGCTAATATCAGTCCAATAGCTCCAGGGAGCCGATGGGGCTCCCCCACAGAAAATATAAATTTGCCCACCTGTCATTGCACAATTTGCCAGAAATACTATAACATTGCAATGCTGTAGCATTGATGAATATAATGTAACATAACCAATGGATATTTTTTTATAACCATTATTACCATATTTTTGGCATACAAGGCACATATAATTTACAAGGATATTTATTTTGTTAATATGCATATACAGTATATATATTGAAAGTGATTTTCAAATGTCTTTGAAGAGGAAAATATACAATTGAGTATGTAAATACAATGAATATTTGGTATGTGGTGGACCTATGTTATGGATCCTATATATATGCCAATATATATGGTATTAATTATTGCTACTGTTGTTATTACTACAGTATTAATTATTATAGTACAGTACTTGTAAAAGCAAACCATTGTGTCTATAAAAATTTGACTAACATTAAAAATGTTACCTTGCTAATTTTGTTTAAAATTGAAGTGATCCCTTGATGACTTATCTTAACTGAATTAGATTCACCAACATGCTTACATATTCCTGAAAACAAAATGTGTGATTATTTAAAGTTTGAGCATGACACTTAAATAAAAAATAAATTAGGATACCCTTCTTATCTGTTCCAAGAGCACCGATGTACACAATTTATCTAAAGTTTTGAAGCAAGTAATAATTCATGATGACCAAACTACACTAAAAAAGGCTTTCGACAGAGTTCCCCATAAGAGGTTGTTCTGGAAATTGGAACATATTGGTGGGGTGACAGGTAAGCTTCTAACATGGATGAAAAATTTTCTAACTGACAGAAAAATGAGGGCCATAATCAGAGGCAAGGTATCGGATTGGACGAATGTCACGAGTGGAGTGCCACAGGGTTCAGTTCTTGCACCGGTAATGTTCATTGTCTACATAAATGATCTACCAGTGGGAATACAGAATTATATGAACATGTTTGCTGATGATGCTAAGATAATAGGGCAGATAAGAAATCTAGATTATTGTCATGCCCTTCAAGAAGACCTGGACAAAATAAGTATATGGAGCAACACTTGGCAAATGGAATTTAATGTGAATAAATGCCATGTTATGGAATGTGGAATTGGAGAACATAGACCCCACACAACGTATAAATAATGTGAGAAATCTTTAAAGAATTCTGACAAAGAAAGGGATCTAGGGGTGGTTCTAGATAGAAAACTGTCACCTGAGGACCACATTAAGAACATTGTGCGAGGAGCCTATGCTACACTTTCTAACTTCAGAATTGCTTTTAACTTAAATACATGGACGGAGAAATACTAAAGAAATTGTTTACGGCTTTTGTTAGACCTAAGCTGGAATATGCAGCGGTTGTGTGGTGCCCATATCTTAAGAAGCACATCAACAAACTGGAAAAGGTGCAACAACATGCTACTAAGTGGCTCCCAGAACTGAAGAACAAGAGCTACGAGGAGAGGCATTATATAGTACTTGCAAAAATTATAGACAAAAAAATGATAACAGATTACATGAAATGAAAAAAAGATGAGAGAAAATTGTAGGTACAGTATATTAAAGCACATAGGTAGCTGAGATTGATTGCAATGACAGCTTGAATGGTAGTTGACAAAAAATTGGTAGGCACAATACAGCAGAAACAATATAAGATTGGTTGCAATGACAGCTTGAATGGTAGTTGACAAAAATTGGTAGTCACAATACAGCATATGGCTAGCACATAGAAGAAGACAGCAATGAACACAATGATAAGGTTGTTTGATATTACATAAAAATTAGGAGATTGGGTAACACTAGGTACAGAGCAAATTTAAAGCTCAGTGTAGGAAACTAAGAAGATGAAGTTAGGTACTTTTTGGTTTTGCTTTTGAATAAGGCAAAAGTTTTACAGTTTTTCAATTCACTAGGGAGTGAGTTCCATAGACTAGGTCCCTTAATTTGCATAGTGTGTTTACACAGATTAAGTTTGACCCTGGGGATATCAAAGAGATATTTATTTCTGGTGTGGTGATAATGGGTCCTATTACATCTGTCCAGGGAGAGTTTCAGAGCATGGTTTGCATTTAAGAACAGGGTTTTGTAAATGTAGTTGACACAAGAGAATGTGTGGAGGGAGTTAATATTTAGCAAGTTTAGGGATTTAAACAAGGGAGCTGAGTGTTGTCTGAAAGCAGAGTTAGTTATTATTCTGATAGCAGATTTTTGCTGCATGATGATGGGCTTAAGGTGGTTTGCAGTGGTAGACCCCCATGCACAGATACCATAATTAAGATAGGGGTAGATTAGTGCATAATATAGTGAGAGGAGAGCAGAGTTAGGAACATAATATCTGATTTTGGAGAGTATACCAACTGTCTTAGAGACTTTCTTAGTTATGTGTTGAATGTGGGTGCTGAAGTTGAGTCTCTTGTCTAGGAATAGGCCAAGAAATTTGCCATCATTTTTATTACTGATGTTGATGTTGTCTATCTGTAGCTGAATTGCATTTGATGATTTGCTTCCAAATAAGATGTAGTAAGTCTTTCTATCTAAGTCTGTAGGTAAGTAACTATCATAATACAAAATATACACTGTCCCCTAAGTAACAATCAATAGATGAGACAGTGGACAATGCTATCACTTTCTTACTATGTAACCACTTAAGCATATTCATTGAATAAATTATCACAATTATAATGCAGTTTCAATATTAACAAAATGGGACAGAAAGAGCTTTACACTACTGCCCAATTTTCATTGCACTCATTACGTGCAACGTGCAAACGTGCATTATGTGCAAACATTATGTAGTGTAGTGGTTAGCATAATACTTCATTTAGGAGAGAAATTGGTTTGTAATCCTGCACGGAGGAACGAGTTTCTGAATTTCCTTTGCACCTTGTACCCATATAATAGTCATGAGCCGCAGTAGTCCAGGTGAAGCAACAGCCTCTCAATCCACAGGTCCAGCCCATTAGTGCATGGCTCCTTTTTCTGACTTGTTGCTAGGCTAGGAAGTAAATGAGATGTATGCCAAATTTTACGAAATATACGATGAAGGCATGCAAACATTCATACCAAAACAGAGCTGCAGACCAAGGAAAAGGGATTGGTTCAACAGAAATTGTGAGAGGGCCAGAGACCAAAAGACACAAAAATGTAATCAATATAGGAAAAGGCCAAACCCCCAAACATACCAGCGATACAATGACGCAAGAAACAACTAAACAGCAGCAAGGAGGCAGAAAGAAATTTTGAAAAAGGGATAGTGGGCAAGTGTAAAACAGAACCAGGTCTATTCTATAAATTTATAAACAACAAATTGCAGGTAAAGGATAATATTCAGAGGTTGAAAAGGGGAAATATTCATGGAAAATGAAAAGTGTGAAACATTAAACAAAAAAGCTCCAAAGTGTGTTTGTACACAAATGAAATGTTCAGGAAACCAGACACAATAAGAATTCCAGAGAACAACTTGGAGCACAAAGAGGTGTCTACAGACGAACTGAAAAAAACCAGCGTTGAATGTAATGAAACGCCATTTTCTGGGTGAGTCCCGGAGGCTCCCCGGAGCTATCCCAGGCTGATATGCTAATGTCAGACTTTGGCATCAGTCATGTGTATGGAGTTCTTAGACCTACCGGGGACCTCGGCCGGAACCGGGCCCCTCAGAGAGGCAAGGGGAGCAATGGCCTATAGAAACCTCCGTGTGGTTGGGAGCATTCTATGTCTGCCATCGACCTGATCAGGCAACCAGAAAGGTAAGCGCCCCAAAACAAACCCCTATTCTGGTTAAAATTGCTACCTAAAACCGAACTAGTGGATAGAACTCCCCAACCGAAAACAAGCAAACTAGTGTGACGTCACACACTGCCGCGCCGCTGTCTGCGCAGCTCCCCCCTCCCCGGGAGGGGGAAGGGGGAGCCCCAGACCCCCCGCGCCGGCTACCCACACCTCAGTTCTTGAGGCTGGATGTCAAAAACGCGAAAAACCGCCGACCGGAGGGAGGGAGGGATGCCGGGGAGCCTCCGGGACTCACCCAGAAAATGGCGTTTCATTACATTCAACGCTGGTTTTCTGGGGGGAGCCCCGTCGGCTCCCCGGAGCTAACTACCCACAGACAGAAAAAGAGGGACTTACCCGGGAGGCGGTCGTCGCTCACCCCTCAACTCGAAGCCGAGACAACTGGCTGCAACCGCCGACCCAAAGCAACACAGGCCCGACGAGGCCCAGGGACATTCACAAGGTAACGAGCAGCCAGGACCCTGTTCGACCGCCAAAATCCCCGCGCCCGAATATCAGACCAAGACATATTCCCAAAGACGGCAGCAAGAGCCGCGAACTTACGAACGTCATGGGCACGGGGATAGACCGCAGGCTGGCTGGACCTAATAACCCTGCGGACGACCTGAGAGACCCGAACCCGCGAACAGGGAAGAAGGGAAACCGGATCAACCCACAGCGCGTCCCCGGACACAGAAGCTGTGGCGCGCAAATAACGGCGAAGCGCCGCAACCGGACACAAAACATGATGCACCCCCGGCCTGACCAACCAAGCATCAACCACCCATGGACCCCTCCGGAACGCAGAATGAGCAGCAGTCTCATTCTTCGCCAGAAAAGAAGGAGACGGCTGCAAACGAACAAAACTATCACCACGACCAAAAGAGCAGAAACCCCTGCGCCGGAGGTGAGCATGAAGCTCCCCTACCCGACCCCCAGAGGCCAAAGCCAACAAGTGCCTTGGAAAAACAATCCTGGACCGAAGGGGCCACAACGAAACGAGGAGATGAAAGGAAAGCGAGCACTCTGTCCAAAGACCAGGACGGCTCAGGCGACGCATGAGCAGGCCGGAGGTGAAACAATGCACGAGACAGCTTGCGAAACGGCGCAGACGTAACATCGATACCGAAAGCAAGCTGAAGCGGCTCCGCCAGCGCCGCACGATACGAAGCGACAGTGTTAGGCATAAGATGACGGTCCTGAAACAACCACGAGAGGAAGGACAAGACCACCCGAACAGACAAGGAGCTAACACGACGAAGACGCAAAAAGAAACGGAAGGACCGCCAGGAAACTTCATACTGCCGCCGAGAAGAAGCCCTCAGGTGGGACACCAACAAGGAGGCCACCTGATCACCATAGAGATGATGATAGACTCGAGTCAAAAAAACCATACGCGAAGACTCGAGGAGAAGATCGAACCAGCTACGTGACGTACCGGCCCGATCTGCTGAAAGAGGCGGAGCCGCGGGAAAACCCTCGGGTTCGGACACCGAGCAACCAGCGCCTGAAACCAAGGCTGGGCCGGCCACCAAGGGGCCAGAAGGACAACTCTCCCCCGGTAAGTCTCTAAGCGAGTCAGGACCTGGAGCAACAGCCAAACCGGGGGAAAGAGGTACAGGAACCCCCACCTCGACCAGTCGAGCCGAAAGGCATCGACCCCGACGGCCTCGCAATCGGGGAAGGGCGCCGCATAAACGGGAAGACGCCGTGACCACGCCGACGCGAAGAGGTCCACCTTGGGGCGCCCGAACGTCTGGCAAAGCCAACGGAAGGACTCG